CTTCCAAAATCCCCATACGGTTCCCTTGGCGGCGTTCCTTCCCCCGATCCTCGGCACCGGGGACTGATGGAACGCTTAGCGCCGCTGCCCACCGCCAGCTCGCGTTACAAGCCTGTGCATATTTTAAAGTGTTGCATCGTAAAAACAGAAGCACGACCAAGCCATGGTGAATAATTCACCGGCGTGCCCGGGCAAAATTAAAAATATATTTCATCGTCAAAAGGTCTGCGTTATCTGGGATTTCTAGGGAAATGAGGGAGAAAAGAGCCAGGTGGTGGGAGGTGAGATGAAAACCGTGAACGCTTCAACGTTGCCGTTATTTGTACCTTTCTCTCACTCTGCTCCAACCTCTGAGATGAGTTTAAGATTAGGGTCACCATTTTTCCTTCTTCCTGGCAGAGCCATGTTTTCAAAGAGCAACATGAGAAGCCCAAAATCGGCCAATGCAAGGTGTTTTTTTTTAATGTTATAGAATTATAATGTTGGCTGGAAAGCTCAGTGGTTTTAGGTATCAGGCTTCAGAGCCAGAAGTTGGGAGTTCGATTCCCCCATGGGGCCTCCTTGGCAGCGGCTGGACTGGATGATCCCGAGGGTCCCTCTTCCAGCTCTGCAGTTCTACAATGATGATAATGGAGAAGTATCTGTCTGTGAAGTTATAGGTTGGGAATTTGAATCCCCCTCCCCGCTGTACCTCCTGGGAGAAGAGCCAGCCTGGGTGGCCTTGGGCAAGCTGCACAGTCCCAAGGTTGCCCCCTAGAGGAAGGGAAGGGTAAAGCACTTCTGAGTAATCTCTACCTGTAAAACCTTGGAAAGGGCTGTCATAACTCACAATTGACTTGATGGTACAGTGGTGCCTCGCACAGCGAGGTTAATCCGTTCCAGATTAACCCTCGCTGTGTGAAAACATCGCTGAGCGGGGCAGAAAAGCCCACTGGAACGCATTAAACAGTGTTTAATACGTTCCAATCGGCTGCTGTACTCACCGTTCAGCGATGTTTCTCCAATGGCCGGCAGGCATTTTTGTGCCCTCCCCCGTTTTCGAGGGCGCGAAAACGCTGCGCGCGGCCATTTTGCAGCTTCCGGCGGCCATTTTGTAGCCGCCGAACAGCTGATCGGCGGGTCGCAAAGTGAAGGTCGGTAAGCGAACCGCTTACCGCCCTTCGCTCTGCGATTTTTTCCCTATTGAGGCATCGGTATGTGATCGCATTTGCGATCGCAAAACCGGCCTCATAGAGTGAATTCATCGCTCTACAGTGCACTCGTTGTGTGAGGCACCACTGTACTTGATTATTATAGAAGCATAATACCTGCAACTTTGTTCTCAATTAACAAATGTAGACAACCTGATCCTACACCTGTGTTCTCAAAAATAAATTGCACATTGTTATAATAATATCATCATCACCATCTTAGAACTGCAGAGCTGGAAGGGACCCTATAAGATCATCCAGTCCAGCCCCCATCAAGGAGGCCCCGTAGGGGAATTGAACTCCCGACCTCTAGATCTACAGCTAGAGACCTAACCCCCTGAGCTACCCAGTGGATCTTTCTTCTGGGTAATGGATTACAGTTTTACTATGGAAAACAATCTGATCTAGGAATTATGCCTCCTTAGCTTGAAAGAAATCCCCCTCCTTGCATGCAGTAAGTCACGAGACAGGGGTTGTCTAAAAGCAGTATGACACTCTGCCCATGCACAGAGGCCTTCTGATCTCCCATCCACCTGCACACAGAGAGGAAGGACAATGTGCTTAATTTATTTGACAGGTTCCGCTTTCCCTTTTTGATTTGAAAGGAAGAGCATCAGTTCATTCCATGACTCTGAAGCTATCAAAATCATAAGACAATCATAAGAAATAATACTGTAAAACTGGCCAGCACAGTAAAGAGGGGGGGGGGGAGAAATCCATTCAGGAAGGACTAGCCATTTTCAGTGGCCACAGTAAAGCCCAAGTTGGAAATGAAACATGGGTAGAGAAAATACTGCAAACTTTCGTTGCAGGCCTTAGATAGCCAACACCGTTCTAGCGTGTGTGGTTTATCACAGCTATAGACATACACATGTATCACAGTTTGGCACTGTCAGAATGATGTAGCCACAGGACAGCAGCACTGTCAAGGGCCCCAATGTGTCCAAATCCCATCAGTGGTGGAGCTCTACAACTGAACCGTCATTGATCAGTGACCACTCAGCTTCTGATCATTTTCCCGCAATTTGCAATCAGCTTCTGCTCTGGCCACCGATCATTCGGTCCAGGGCAGTGGTTCCTACCCTTAGGTCCCCAGATGTCCTTACAGTGAAACTGCCAGAAGCCTTCATCATTAGCTGTGCTGGCCAGGATTTATGGGAGTGGTAGTCCAAGAACAAGGGACGTGGTGGTGCTGTGGGTTAAACC